GCTTCACAGGAAACCTACAGCAGGATTTTGTGGCATCCAGAGTGCCTGGAGCTGGAGCTGGGCACGGTTTCTAGAAGGGAGGGCAGTGTGCTTTCTGCTCCCTGCTTTCTGCACCCCAAGGGGCTGCTCCCTGCTTTCTTGCAGCTCTGAGGAGCAAAGGCCAAAGCACTTTCAGGTGCAGGTATGAGCCTGGTGCCCAGGTCTGTGCTGGGGCTGAGCCACTGTGAGCAGAGCTCTGTTTGTGGTCATGGAAATAATCCCCCCACTCCTGCAGCACTTGTTTTGTTCTGTATTTTGTGTGGAGAGCCCTGTGACACTGTACCTGATCGTGGCCTGGCTTATGGGGTGTGCTGGGGATGTCCCTTCCCCTCCCAGGCGCTGGCAGCATCCAGGCATGGGGTAATCTGGCAGAAATTTGGGGGCTGCTGGTGCACACACGAGGTGATTCCTGGACTGCTGCAGCCGCTCGTGTGGAGATGGGGGAGGGGGATTGGGACAGGACAAGAGGGGTCTCACGTTGCCCCAGGGGAGGCTGAGGCTGGAGCTGAGGAACAATTTGGACTCCACGATCTGAAAGGTCTCTTCCAACCGAAACAAAGCTGCGATTCTGTGATTGAGGGGCTGTCACAGCCACCTCTCCGGGCAAGCTCTGCCATGCTGGCTGACCCTCACTGCAGCAGGCAGCCCATTCCTTGCCCCTTTTGAGAGGGGACAGTTTACTCCCTGCTGCTCTCAAGCTGTTGTTGGTGCATTTGGAGTCTGGTCTCGTGTCTCCTCTGAACGGAGGATGATTTGCTCCTCTCCACATTTGCAGGGCTGTGATGAGTGGAGCAGTTGCACGTGCCCTGTGCACAGCCACAGCCCCTTGCCCCTGAGCATGTCACAGCCCCTCGGGTGCCTGTTTTTGCTGCTTTTCTCACACAGGGGTTTAAATGGATCACGTTGGGCTGGTCACCCAAACCCTGACCTCTTCTGCGAGGGACTCCCTGCACGGAGGGTGGTCCCCCCAGGGAAGAGAGAGCCAGTGCTGTCTCTGCCCTCACTCAGCCTCCTCTCCCCCCTCTCCAGGGCTGCCCAGCAGCAGATAAACCTCTTTCCGTTCCCGGAACAGTCGTGCTGGGAGGGGGGGGGTATTTCAAACAGCCTCTTTGCATGTTTCTCTTTCCCCTTTTTGCAGATTGCAGAAGGAATGGCTTTTATTGAGAAGAGGAACTACATCCACCGCGACCTGCGAGCTGCCAACATCCTGGTGTCAGCACTGCTGGTGTGCAAGATCGCCGACTTCGGGCTGGCCAGGGTTATTGAAGACAACGAGTACACGGCCCGGGAAGGTGCAGGAGCTGCTGCCGAGGCAGAGAAGGGTTGTGGGATCCCCTCTGAGCCACTTATCAAGGAGTAACAGCGGTGGCAACGACCCCGGGAGGGATGTGACGTGTGGCTGGGCAGAGGAGGGAAGCTCCTCTCATTTGCATCACTTCACATCTTCCTCTTCTGTTTGTTTGTTTCTTGTTTCCCGTATTTCACCACCCGTTTGTCAGCATTTGGGTTAGAGCTCGTGTTTCCCATTGGGTCTCTTTGTCCAGGTGCCAAGTTTCCCATTAAGTGGACTGCCCCAGAAGCCATCAACTACGGATCCTTCACCATAAAATCAGATGTCTGGTCCTTTGGGGTCCTCCTGACTGAGATCATCACCTACGGGCGCATCCCATACCCAGGTGAGAAGGTGAAATGTCTCCTCTCATCCTCTTTCTGAGCCCCATTCATGTTTCTTCATGAAGTGAGATTGCTGAAAACAGGGAATGGTGAGAAATCTGAATCTCACCCTGGGAGCAGAGCTCAAAGATGGTGTTGAGCATGAGGCCTCAAGATGGCAACTCAGTCACTAAGCCACGGTCAGGTTTTCATGGACCTGAAATCCACACTGATGTGACATGAGATCCCTCTTGTTGGCTTCCACAAAGCAGAGCTGGGACATCTGCTGGGAGGCCAGGCTGAGAGAGTTGGGGCTGTTCAGCTTGGAGAAGTGAAGGCGGTGGGGGGACCTTCCTGTGGCCTTCCAGGACTGCAGGGGACCTGTCAGAAAGATGGGGACAGACTTTTGAGCGGG